CACCCCATCACAAGCCAGCAAAACACCCACGAAACAAAGAAAGGTCTGTCACAGCCAAAAATGCACTATAGACATGCCGATGGCACGATATGGTCATGTATGTTTTGACGATTTATGGGCGGCGTTGTACGGAAGAGGTTCTGAACAGGGGGAGTTGTAAGGAAGAAGATAAAAAAAACGAATTCATTTTTTCTTTTTTTTTCTTTTCTTCGCTTTTGCGCTCTGATATTCATGTGACAATATATCTATAGAAAGCTTTCGGCACACGACTAATTTTTAAGTAATGATTGAAATAATGTTACTCCTTTGTAGCATTTAACTTTGACGTTCCTGGCCACAATTTCGGCTTTTTTGAACCGATATGGTCGAGGCATACTGGCGGGATCCTAATAAGCCCTGACGATTTCGGCTAAAAAACCATCGGAAAAAAAAAACTGCGGCCAGGAACGACGACGAAGTTAAATGCCCAAAGGGGTAATATAATTGAATATAGTAATAATCATTGAATTCACTGATAAGCAGAGATTGCATGCATTGTGGAAGCATCGGACCGGTTCTGTTGTGACACGTCGGTAGGAGCGCTATCGTTGTGACACGTGGCCATGATTCTCCTGAAGAGTTCCGTTGATTAGGTGTTAAGTAATTAGTTACATTTTCTTTTTGAGTGATTAATAATAATGTAAGACGCATCAGTACTCGTGAACGAATCGGAGCGCTGTTGTGGTGACGCGTGGCCAGGAATGTATAGTCTTGCTCTGTGGCTTGTTCATGTTATATACCGGCCGTCATCTCGTTGATCCTAATCTTCTTTTCATTTTCTTTCTTTCAAATCTTCAGCAGTTCTGATTAGCTTCCTGACCCCTACGCCGTCCTCTCTCCTCCTCTTCCCTCCCCTCCCCCCCTCTCCCCCCCCCCTCCTTTCCCCTCCCCCCCCCCCCCTCCCCCCCCCCCCCCCCCCCCGCCTCCCTCCTCCCTCCCCTCTCTCCCCGCCTCCCTCCTCTTATATCTGCAGGTAAATTGCAGGTTATAAGGATCTTAGGTATGAAGAGTAGAAAATGGTACGATATAGTGTTTAATATCCGGCCTGTTTTTTCTTTGTTTGGTTATATATGTTTTAATTGCCCTCCCGGTTTTATTTTCTTCCCACTAAATTATTCGTCTGTCTGTGTCTCTCTCCCCCTCCTCCAGCTCTCTGTCTCTCTCTCTCGCCCCTTGTCTCGTATGTGTCCTTACGCTCTGTTGCGCTGTCGCAATCCATTCTGCCGGACCGTTTCCTGATAACCGGCCGGTTTTCGTATATGAGGTTATTACAGTGTCAGCTTAGAACCTGGTCGTTATCGGAACCTGGTTTTGCAGAACCTGGTCGTTATCGGAACCTGGTTTTGCAGAACCTGGTCGTTATCGGAACCTGGTTTTGCAGAACCTGGTTGTTATCGGAACCTGGTTTTGCAGAACCAGGTTGTTATCGGAACCTGGCTTTGCAAAACCTGAACCTGGTTGTCGATCGGAACCTGGTTTTGCAGAACCTGAACCTGGTTGTCAATCGGAACCTGGTTTTGCAGAACCTGAACCTGGTTGTCATCGGAACCTGGGTTGCAGAATCGGAACCTTGTTTTGCAGAACCTTGTTGTTATTGGAAACTGGGTTTGGAGAACCTGAACCCGGTTTTGTTGAGCCTGGTTGTTATCGGAACCTGGTTTTGCAGATCCCTGGACCTGGTTTTGGCGAACCTGGTTGTTATCGGACCTGGTTTTGCAGATCCTGGACCCGGTTTTGTTGAACTTGGTTGTTATGGGAACCTGGTTTTGCAGATCCTGGACCTGGTTTTGTTGAACCTGGTTGTTATCGAAACCTGGTTTTGCGGAACCTGGTTTGCAGAACCAGGGTGGGTGTTATCGGAACCTGGTTCCGCAGACTGCTAATGGGACCTGGTTTTATAGACCCTGTGTATCGGAACCTGGTCTTGCAGAACCTGTATATCAGGACAATCGAAGCGGCATTGCTATCGTATTCCCCCGCACAGAATACACCTTGATCAGGAACGTATACAAGCTCTCTCCTTTTCTGGTGCTATGTAGCTGGTGCGTTGTGTGTATTCGTTGGAAGTCGGTCGTTGCGCGATTTAGTGTGTGTATGTTGGCGATTTCCTTGGTCATGACATGGCACACTCGCACCAAAAGGTCCTTCCTCCCTCCCCCCCTGCCCGCCCTCCCCCCCCTCCCCCTTTATTCCCAAGGTTACGGATCCATATTGCCGACTTCCCTTACCTACATTCTTCCTTTGACCAGAGGCTGCTCACCGAGGAGACCTGATTCTGTCCATGCCAACAAAATTTTCGAACTACTGTCTTCACCCGAATAGAACGCCCGGTCATTAGCGCTGTATCTAGACCGAAACTTACCTTGAATGCAGCCATAATGACCGGGCGTTCTATCCGTGTGAAAGCGGTAATTGGATTGGAATGCGTTGAGGAGAAGTTTTGGCAGGAGTTGGCCGTCCGAGGTGCGTCCGCTTGCGCTCCTCTGCCTCGTCGTGGATGATGTGTCCGCCTCTGGTTGGGTTGTGCTATTGTGTACGGATTCAACTAGATTGGCGTTTTTTTTTTTTTTTTTTTTTTTTTTTACGAGTTTTGCGATTTCCTTGGCCATGGCATGACATGTCGTTCCAAAAAAGGGAGAAAACCCTGCTTGGAAAAGGATTGCATTGCGATGGTTTCAGGAGAGGTTGTGGTAGTGCGTTCCCCCCCCTCCCCTCCCCCCCCCTCCCTCCCTCCTCCCTTCTCCCCTAAGGCTCTGGTGGCATTTCAGAACATCACAAGCATGAAATCCTAACTTAGTCGTCCAACGTAAAAAAAAAGGAGAAAAAATAAGAATAAGAATAAGAAAAGTTGGTAAACGATACAGAGAAAGAGAAAATTATCATCATCATGGATTGGCCCCTGCTCGTTCAAGGATGTGACAGGCAAGAAAATGGTCTACATGCGTGCGTTAAAGAGATAATAATATAATAATAGGAATGGTCTACATGCATTAAAAATGCACGGTAATGGAAGAAAGGTCTCCGTCGGAGTACTCGCCCTCACAGGGTCGGCCGCAGGGGTCGTCTAGATCGTGGATGACGTGGCCATCTGTGCTGCAGAGCAGGAATTTGTGTTAACGTCCTGTCTTCTCCACCCCGCGTGTTCTGTGTGAACATCATTTTCGATGTTGCTGGCTGCAGATCACTATGGTTGGATGAATGGGGACAGAGATGGGAGGGATGTGATTATATGTGATGGATGAGAATACGATGATTGGATGGAGGGGACTATGATTGGACGGAGGAAAATATGAAAACTGGATGGATGAGAATATGATGATTGGGTGGATGAGAAAATGATGATTGGATGGATGGGACTATGCTTTAGATGGATTGGACTATGATTGGATGGGTGAGGAGTATGATGGTTGAATGGAGAGACGATGATTGGATGGATGGGACTATGCTGGGATTGATGGGAGTATGATTTGGATGAGAATATGATTATGGATGGGATGGATACTTGGATGGATGCTTGGGTGGATGAGATTATGATTGGATGGAGTGGACTGTATTGGATGGATGAGAATACAGCGATTGGATGGATGAGACCATGATTGAATGGATGAGAATATGATGATTGGGTGGCTGGGGCTATGACCTGATGGACGGGACTACGGCTGTTTGGATGAGATTATGATATGATTGGCTGGATGAGAATAATATGATATGATGATGATTGGATGGATGGGACTAATGATTGCATTGATAGGACTAAGGATTGCATGGATGAGAATATGATGATGAAATGGATGGGACTATGATTGGATGGGTGGAGGGAATGGGCCACTGGGTCCATCCAATGCAATCCTATTGTAGCGATGCAGGCAGAGTCGTGTAAAAGGTCGGAGGCATCTGTTGCCACGTGCGCAGAGCATTGCCCCAATGCATTTCCCACCATCGGTTCGATCCTCGTCGCTCAGCAATATTCCCGTCAAGAAAGGGATAACGAATGCAGTCGCCTTTGATGTTCCGGTTCACTTCCGTAGCTTCTTTGCTGGCCTGGCAAATAGACATGCTTTGGGCACAGCTCTTGTAGGATGTGCGCATGTCCATGCTGATGGTTACTGCCAGCTGTCAGACGGTGACCGTTTGCACTGAGAGTTCTCGGCCTATTTTGCCTTGTAATGACCTGTGTCAATTGTACTGTGCTTGCCCTGGCCTCGTTTAGGAAGGAAAGGCTAGCCCTTGAAGTCAATTTTTTGCCTTTGTTTTGGTTTTTGGTCCTGTTTTAAAGAACAAATAAAGTTCCCTGCGCATCTACTTTATTATGCTATAAGTTTTGGAAGTGTGTGTTTGTCGTTTAGCGGTGGACATGCTGTGCAGGCGAGACTCCTTTCTGAAAAGTATGAGTATGCCCTCTGTGGATACAAGAGAAGGCAAGGAAGTGAAAAAAGTCGTTATGAAAAAAGAAAAAAGCTTACCTATTGTCCACTGGATTCAACGCATGTGGTGCCAAAAAGGACCCGAAAAGCTTACCTATTGTCGTCATAGATTATTCGTTTCCTTGTGTTGTCCTCTTCCTC